CATTTCAATGGAGCAATAGCCAGTGTGACCTCAACAGACTTTGGCTTTGGAGCCAGATCTCTTCAGTGACAGACATAACCCTGGTGGGTCAGAAGCATTCTTCACTGCTCACTCTGCCATCTGCCACTGTGGAAACTTCATCATTAAAGGAAGAGTTGTTGCTGGACAAATTTGCAAATGGTTTTGAGAACATTATTATTGCACAGAATGTTACCATCTGTAAGTAGGCAAATCTGAATTACAATGTATGCCTATCTTTCTATGTATACCTTGATAGAATATATGCAGGCATTAATCTCAAAACTGGGAACATTTCTTTTGTATTATGGAATTATAGCATTGCAAAGGGCCTCCAGAGCTTACCTTCCTACTTTTAAATACATCTGCATTTAAAGTATCACAGATCAAAGAAACTTATATTGCATTTAGTTTGTCCTTATTCACAAAGTATTTTTAATCATTTGATTTTACTCACTTATTATATTACATTATTCTATTATTTTCAAGAATTCACATTTACATATATATGTGTATATGTGTATATATATTATAGCTTTTTAAAAAATAATATATAGCTTTTAAAAAAAGATTTCAATTATGTCTTTGAGATAGTACCACCTGTCCTCTTGCAACTTTCAACATCATGGAATAAATTATAAGGATTATTATATAAATAATATAATGAAAACATTAAACCAGAATTTCCAGTCATAAGCCAGGCACTGTTTTATATATATATATATGTATGTATGTATTTATTTATTTATATTCTTTGGGTCCTACTGCATAGGGTTATTATAATTGTAGTTATACAATTATAATATAGAATTTTATATTATTTTGTTATATTATTAATATTGCCATTGTACAGACAAGGTAACCAAAGCGTGGAAAGGTAAACTGATGCTCAGGATCACTGTTTGATAAACTGTAGATCAGAGATTTTGAACTCAGCTAACTTAGGTGCAGAATCTGTGCTATTAACTTATTTGAGTCTGTGGATCTCTAGAATCAAAATAAATGTTAATGGATGACCTATGGTGATGATGGGAGTAGAGGAACTTGTTTCATGGAAACAAAAAGAGTAGAAAATGGCATTATAGAGTTTTCAGTGTCAAGTGTTGGTGCTCAAATGTGCTGCCCAAATATTCTTAGTTCTCCTGAGTTTTGAAGACAGAAGGAAAATGTCAAATGGGATACAAAGTACTGATTCTTTATTAATATAAGGTTAAGTTCCTGACACCGGCCCAAGAGGTCTGTTTTGGAGAAAGGCCTCAGTAAATCTCTACTCCATCATATAATTCCTCTAGGCTGCTATGTGGTGATCTACTAACCAACCAGGTTTTGTATCCACCTAATCTCAGGCAGAGGAACCTGAACAGACAGCAAAGAGGTTGACCTGGCCTACATGGAGGCCAGCTGGTAGAAAATCAGCTAGTTGTGGAGCACAAGCTTCTGCTTTAGGTCACAGTGAGCGTTCTCATTTGAAAAACTGGCCCAATGATTGCCTCCTTGTCCGATAGCACAGGGGTCATGCTAATCTCTGTATCATTCCAATTTTAGTATATGTGCTGCCGAAGCAAAATCCCATGATCCCCTCTCTCTTTTGTGGAAATGAGCTGGTGAAAAAACATGGAGAGAGGGCAGAAGCTTGGATTGATGCTGTCGATGTAAGAAACCTCTAAACCCGTAAAGACTTTATCGGAGCTTATTTGAACCAAACAGATGACAATTACCAGAAAGCAAGATTCAAACACTTCCGAGAATGACAGTTTTGCAGTTTCTTTTATGCATGTGGATTTAAGGAGGAAATGCGAGGCAGATTCTATGACGGTGAGAGAGAACAAGGTGAGATTGAATTACATGATAGTTAACAAGATTATGTGCTCTCTCGAGGATGGTTACTCTTCCCAGGAGTCTGAAAGAATTTCAGTCGTACTTTGAAAACATTTTAACAAATCAAATGTTTACAGACATCTTGCAGTAAAGCTAAGTTAGTAGGACTAGTATATGAATGATGGTAAAATTACATGAAAACTGGGTAAAATATGGTCAACTCCAAATTATCATTAAAGCCTTCTGTTCATCAGTGTCGTGCAAAATAGGATATTGGGCAGCATTTTGACAATGAAAAAAAGGATTATTAGTAACACACATCTTTTTAATTTCTTTTTGTTAACATAAATTAACTCATTAATTAACTAATAAAATCCCAAGGTGGAATCCCTTGCAGCCAGGACAACAAACCAAGACTGATTGGGGTTTCAGCCCCTTCTGGGATGTGACTTTAATCAGTCTGGAATTTCCTGATCAACACTAGTGAGGTAATCTGCCTGAGAAGACCCCTGCCACCCTTCCCTACAGAAAGATGCCCTTTCCTCAAGCAATCCCTTCTTCTCTTTTGCTGATAACTTTATTGTCCCACCGGGTTTCTGCCTATAAAAACTTTCTATTTTGTACTTCTCAGAGAACCTCTTTATTTTCTAGATGGGATCTTGCTTGATTCATGAATCATTCAATAAAGCCAATAATATCTTTAAAATTTGCTTGGTTGAATTTTTGTTTTTTAACATCTTATAATGAAATCAAATAGCTTTGCTTAAATTTGTTTGTAAATTTTGTAAATGATGTGATAACATTTACAAGAACTAGAGTTAAGAGACTATGAGAAAGATACCTTTTTTTCTTGATTAAAAAAATGATAATCAGAGTACTCCGTGCTGTCAAATATGGCAATGTATTCTATGTCTTAATTTTTTTTTCTGCTCTGATCAAAAAGACTGAAGTCTAGAAGAGCCAAGGGTGTGTGGCCAGCTAAACCTGCCCATGACAAAAACTCACAGGATAGAGATGATGTAAATTAAAGGAAAGACATCCCTATCCTTGAATTGTTCCAAAGAAGATAGCATCTTCCTTGGATGTTCTTAAGTTATTTTATTTAGATCTGGCAGTGGGTGAATAACATTGAAAATTTATCTTAGTCAGCTTGGGATGCTATAACAAATTATCATCGACTGGGTGGCTTAAACAACAAATATTTGTTTGTGTCCTCATATGGTGTATGAGAGAGTGAGAGAAGGAAGGAGAAGGAAGGAGAGTAGAAGGAAGGGAGAAAGGAAGGGAGAGACAGAGGGAGGGAAGGAGGGAGAAAGAGAGGGAAGGAAGAGAGAAGGAGGGGGAGAAGGAAAGAGGGAGAGAGAGGGCAAGCTCTCTTCTTGTCTTCTTATTGAGAACACTAATCTCATCATGAGGACACCACCCTCATATCCTTATCTGAACCTAATTACCTCCCAATGGCTCCACCTTCTAATGCCATCACATTGGGAGTTAGAGCTTCAATATATTAATTTTGCAGGGACACAAATATTTAGTCCATAACAAGGCTGTAAGAGGGATCAGATGTTCTAATATCATAAGCTAAAAAGAGAAGGAATTATTTACAGACTTTCTGGTTGTAACGTTTATACAAATTACAGTGAAATACTATTATAGGCCACTTCACTATAATATTTCTTTAATTATACTATGAGTCAAATCAGAGTGCTCCAAATTGTACTGACCCTTGAGAATGAAAAATTAGGAACTACAGTATCTCTGATTTAGCTTTCTTTAAAATTAAACTGATATCAAAAGGAATGAGGAAGTTTGCATACATTGTTATGGAATGACTGGATATATTTTTCAAAATATTTTAGTTCAATCTGAATTGGAAATATCTGTATAAATGAATTAAAAAAATACCAACAACCTTATTTCCTAGTTGTGTCCACTGAAAAGCAGTCATAGCTTAATAGCCATGAGCATATCTATTATCTGGATTGTGGTCCATACTGGTTATTATATTTCCATAAAAGCACCTGAAGAATGACTGTTTCTAAGTCTAAGTCAGGATGTATAAGATGAACCCGAGATTTTGGGGGTGGCCAAAGTGCAAGCTATGAAATAATATGAGTTATGTCAAAAGACCATAGAAGCCAAAGATGGTAAAATTTGAGTATCAGAAAGAATAGTGAATATAATTTATTAGAGCGCATTCATTATGTAAAAATTAATAAGTTCATAATGTAAGAGAGAGAGAGAGAACTAACAAAACAAAGCAAAATTCATCTTATTAACTACCTTATTTAATATCAAAAAACTAAGAATAAAAATTTATCCTGCTTCTCCTTTATGAACTGAATTTGAAGATAACCAGATAGACCCGCCTATTGAGGGAAAGTTCTTTAAGAATTCTCCTGGTGGCTGTTGATGAAATTATAAAAATTTAAAAAAAACCTCAATTTTGCAATATTTAGTAAAATAATCTATATTTACTTGGATCTTATCGTTAGTGAATTTCCAACCTAAGAAAAGAGATCCTTATAATAATGAAAAAAATTAAAGAAATAGATTAAACAAATGTTGATTTATAACCTGGAGACTAGAAATTTTTTTTTTTTTGGTAAAGACAAACTGGAACTTTAAGCAAACATAATCAGCGGGTAGGATCTACAGGAGGAGCTAGGGCTTATGGAAGTTTTTGCGCCCTGTGTAATTGGGAGAACCCTGCTCTTGAGAATCCTACAGGAAGAATTCTATTTATAATAAAGCTCTATGGTTTTAACTTCTTTTTTCCTTAACTTCCTTTTCTCTTATATAAATACTCTTCTTTGTTGGCACGCAAGCCACAGTGTGCACATGACTTGCCAACGCTTCATGCAACGAGTTACAACCCTTTTTTTTTCTGAATAAATTATTTTTGGTGACAAAATACCTAGTCAATATTATTTTTCAGTTGACACTGTCATTGTGAGAATATTTACAATATAAAATATTGTTCACTTAAACTATTAAAGTGAAGGTTGATTTCACTCAGCACATTTGCGATAATTTAGCCACTGATTATCACCTCACTGATTAAGCTCTCAATAATTAGAGTAGTATAAAAGGAAATCACAGATCTTTTAGCATGTGGAATATTGCTATAATACTTTCTCCTCACAAAATACTATTATTATTATTTATTATTTTAGTGCTTCACGAATTTGGGTGTCATACTTGCACAGGGGTCATGCTAAAGTTTTCTGTTATCATTCCAGTTCCAGTATATGTACTGCTGAAGCAAGCACACGAAATATTATTTTAAAAGTAAAATAAGCAGTAGTTCTGCCTAATTAAACTAAAAACTTAAAATAGAAGCTTAATGGATCAGATCAATGTTCGATGTTTCAGAATTAACTGGCAGCAGTGTGAATGATATGTTGTGATTAGGAGATCAGGTAAGTAACATTTTAATGACCTGAATTCAGTAGCATAGAGAATGGACATGATGAGCTGAATTTGAGAGATGTTTCAGAAGTGGGAATGGAGGGTGGAGAAGAGGAAATGTTAAAGGGAAAGTCAAAATATAATTGCAATTTAATAGCTTAGGTAAATGCTTACCTAGCTTTTCAATAAGTGACAAGATACAGATTGCATGGTATTGAGTGGTGACTAAGACATGAGCAAAAGCTTTTTGAAAGCCTCATATAATCATATAACACCATGACATTTAAGACAGTTAAAAGTGTAAACCCATCTTCTCATTCTCATCTCTCTTCACTTTCTAATCAACTTCTTTCTTACCGCACCACTCCACCCCCATGCGCTCTCCTGAGGATCTAATAAGTCAGTGGTACAAACACATCATGCAGTTTCCTACCTAGTGTTTTTATTTATATCATCTTTTTTTCCTATGTAAAATGATCCTTCTCTCACATCTCTGCTTGGTTCAATCACCCTGGTGCCACAAGGCTTAACGGAAGTGTTGAGTTGAGTGTACTTCATCCTCAAGCAAGATCTGTTAGTTCTTTTTCTATGTCTCCATAAATCTTGGTTCATAACTTTATTACAACCCTCATCACATCAAGTTATTTTAAATTACATGTTTCAGTTTAGTCTGCTAGAATGTAAATGCTTAAAGGCTTAACTTGCCTTGTTCCATAAATGAAATTCTCCTTATGTAAATTGTTATGTGTTATTTAACATTAACTAATTAAGACATATTTACCTACTCTTGTCATTCACAGGCTAAGCTGCTGGTGTTGCAACAATAAGTCTGACTGTTGTGGTCCATGACCTCGCAAAGCTAACACCTAGAAGATGACACAGAGAATCAAAGAGAATAATAAAATAGTGTCATGAGTTTAAAAATCATGATGATGGTGATAACGAGGATGTTAGCTAATAGTTATTGAGTAGTTTTATGTGCCAAGCATGGTTCCAAGCACTGTACATTTGTTATTTAATCTTGCCCTCACAATTCAGTGACAGAGGAAGAACAGAGTACTTTTATAGAGGTCAGTAGAACGACACTTAGCCAAGACAGAAAGTCAGCAAAAACTTCCCTTAGAGTGATTTCTAAATTGAGACCCCCCAAAATGACTAATGACCAGGGATTTGGCAGATAGAAGAGAGAAGAGAGAGGAAGAGAGAAAGAGGAGAGAGAGAGAGAAGGGAAAGGGAGAGGAGAGGGGAGGTAATTTGTGTGTACGTGTGAGGATTAGAGAAAGGAAAAGTGTTTTCAACAGGAAACAAAGGCCGAAGGTCAATCAATATATGTATTTAGTGGATATTGAGCTTTCTACTTCTAAAGTCAGACTATATCATGGAGCTTAATTCCTTTAGAAATAGTCAGAAAAGCTAAAAACTGGAGGAGATCTACCATCCTCATTTTAGAGATAGGAGCACTGAATCCCATCTCAAGGAAATGAGTCCCCACTGCCACACAGAGTCATTGGCAAGAGTTGGTTCCCAGGCCAGACTCTTTCCAGGACACCATGCTGCTGCCTCTATGGATTGTTAAATGGTTTCTACTTCAGCCAGCCAGCAATAAATGTACCCAGACAAATAACATGTTTTATGATTCCCAACCACCACATTTCAGTTCACATTCTTCTCTTGATTATTATTTAATAAGGAAAATATAAATTATGGAATATAATAGTACATATCTGTACTTAATCTCTAAACAGATGTGATCTAGAAACGATTCCTCTCAATCTTCCCCTCAGCACATGAATTTCACCCTGAAAATGTGTCACGACTTTTTTCTTGTGGGCTATAATTCTATCTTAATTATATCACTGATGAATGATCTTAGTTTAGTCTTATTTGGAATTGTGAGAGCATGGCATTTGGAAGCAGACAGACTGGGGTCCCAGTTCTGGGTCTGCCACTTACCAGCTATGTGACCTTGGGCCAGTTACATAACACTTTTGTTCGTACCTGACCTCATAGTGTTCTCGCAGGAATTAAGGGACAGCAATACACGTGTGCTTGGTATGGGGTATCTTTTGAAAAATTTAACTTGTGAGATAGCCTTTGTAACACCAAATCATAAAATCACAGCTCAAAAGAAAATCAACCGCTTTAATCCTTTCCATTTTACTGGTAGAGTCTGTAGACTGGTAATGTTCTTCTTTGCCAAAATGAACAATCCATTTAATTCCTACCATTCAACTGTGGACTTTGTAAGAGCAAAGACTATGAATTTCCTCTATACTCTGGCATCTACTACTGTGAAAAGCACTTAGTAAATTCTTATTCATATTGGTTGAATTGTCTAACTATTTGGTGTCTGAGCCTAAAGGCTAAAACTCAGGCTCCCTGATATCTAGTTCTGGTTTGTTTGTTTGTTTGTTTGTTTTTACAGGTTTGAAAATTGAAAAAAAAAAAAATCCCTGCTTCTTCATTTTGTGAAGAATACTCTGGGGAAAACTTGGTCTTAGAAATTTCAGGTTATTCTATGACATTCCAATATGTTGCTTTTCATTCTGCCTGGACCCCACTGGTATGGATTCACATGAATATTAATAGATGGAAAGGGAATGAAGACTTTTCAGTTCAGCAGTTAGGAAGTGAGGCAGTGCTTAGTCTGAATGCCCTATTGATAGTGGATATATGGCATGGCTCAGGCACTGTGTTTATGCATTTTAAATTGCTTTCTTTACAACTCCAGTTCAGAGGAAATATCATCTCTGAGCCAAACTGGGTCAGGGCATTCCAACGCAGCGAAGTTAATTTGAGAAATTTAAAACAGGCGTCATACCCCTTGAACTTGGCTACAGCTAATTATGTAGAAATAAATCCCATAATCAGCTACTTCTATACTATAGTACAAACATACTATACTTAACCAAAATCATAACCTTATAAAGAGACTAAATATTATTTCCAAACACAACTAAGTTGCTTAAGCTGTGGAGTTCCTGGCCTTGATTTTAGAAGCGACATTAACAGCTGATGAAAATAATGCTGTGGCTTGTAAATGTAAAAATACCACAGAAACCTGACTGATTTTGCTTGATGAGATGACATCAGATTCTCCCAATAACTGAATGCAAGCTTTTAGAATTCATATACCTAAAAAAAAAAAGCAAAAACAACAAAAAAATATGAACAGCCATTATTGTATGCCTAAAAAGTGAGCAATGGTTCCCATTTCTCTTTCTGCTCTTCTCCTTTAGGTCGATGATAAAATATACATGGAACACATGATCCCTGTCTGCCAGTTATGGTTGGGAGTATAACATTATCTTTTAACTTAACATTTATGAAGCAATTTGCTATAAAAATGAGGGTGATGTGATAGTTTTCATACAGTAAACTGGGCTAACTGCTTGAAAATGCACACAATTTAGGAGCTGACAGGTTCAATTCTCAAGTAGAAGAGGTGTATTGTGATGTTTTGGCACTGGTTAAATATTCAATCATTCCACTGCCTTGTCTGTGGGAAATATGTTAATAGCTTATTGCCACAGCCTTTGACTCTCAGGGCAAGTGAAGCCCAGAATTCCAGAGCCCTGATGGGTCAGTGGGTCTCATTACATTTGATGGATGCAAATAATCTTGGCTTTAACATTTTGATTGATCTAGACAAGGGATTTTTATCACAAACAGAATCCTACAGAATTAAATTTTACTCCAAGAGTCCATTCAGTTTACTCTTTTTAACATTTGGTCTCTTTGATACATACACATCTCCTGGCTTTTCATACTCCGTATTAACAGTCATCACCAATAAATTAAAGTGAGTCTTTAAAATTAGTGTTTCCATATATTTCACTTTTCAGCTGACAAAACAAAACCTGAGTAAAAATAACAAACCTCTACTTTTGTGAAACATTTTTAAAAGTCCTTGATACTAACAAGGCTTATATTTTAAAGGAAAAAAAACAGCCAAAGTTCTGGTTTGGCATAGAGAATACAGCTACAAGTTAAGAAATGGAAACAAACTATTTTTTTTCCTAGTTACAAAAGAGAGAGAAAGAAAGAAAGAGAGAGAGAGACAGACAGACAGACAGACAGACAGACAGAGAGAGGGAGAAGTCTATGGCATGTGGTAAGGGGTCCCTATTATGAGGTTCATGACCCAGAGTAGAAAGCTTACTGAGGAACAAGGCAGCATTTTGCTGGATGAGACTTCAGGATATGTTTAAATGTATACACTGAATAATATTTTAAATTTTATATTAAACTTGGAATGTTTGACACAACTGAAATTTGAACTTTATCACATAGATTCCTAATAACAGTGAGGGTCTTTCTCTCCTGTTTTGGTTAGTATCCATGTTGCACTTTTATTTTTCTTTCTGGAGGGGTGGGCTACTGGGAGAGGAGGAGGTGAAAAAATAGATTGAGACAGCGCACATTTCCCTAAGTAAATATAAGGTGTGGCCTTTGTTGTTTTGGTCAAATGGTGAGCTTCTTGGCCACATAATAATCATGTTCAGAGTCTCATTTTATGACAATTTTGTGGTACCATTGTGTGCCGGGTATTTGCTTTTTATAGATATAGATACTCTTTCTTAATCAGACAACTGAGGGGGATAAATATGTACAAGTTGTTATGACAGAACTCTACTCTGGCAGCCCATCTTCTTTTTGGACTGCTTTTGGTTGGTTTTTGGGAATAATGTACTGAGCCAGGATACAGACATAAACATTAGCTCTGGCACTGCAACCTTGTTGGCTTGTACCATGATAACATTTATGAGGTCTCTTCATAAGATTAAGAAGACTCTGGTAGTAATTTAAACCAAATTAATCACTCTGGCTATATTAGATCATTTCAGCTCTGGATGTCTTA